GAGCTTTTTGTTTTTTATTTACATCATGAAAAAAAAATGAATCATTGGAAAAGATAGATCAACTAGCAATTGTTATGTGAGTTCAATTTCATTCAGGAAAAAAAAACACTCGATTAAACCTGATTGTGAATAAAGATTAAATAAAGAGAACTTTAAGCTTTAGAGTTGCAAATAGTTTTATAATTTTATTAATGAAAATATTTATATAAATGCAATGATTCATTGACGATAGGAGACTTTATATGGATATTTATGTACTTTAGAGAATTATTTTTTCGAAATTATTCAATTTTAGTCTAGACACATTTAAGAGTTAAAAGGGTGTGGGTGGTAAAAAAGAAGACCAGAACTCATACTCACACCCATCTATCATTGGTCAATGTTCAACAAGATATATTCTTACAAAATTTGTCAAGTATGATCGTCAACTTCATTTAATTCCATGATTAACTTATGTTTTAATGTGGTATAATATCTCGCTGTCTTAGAGATCAAAGTACACATCTTACTGCCAATATTCATCTTGAGACAGCAGAAATATTGAATGGACATGAACTAACTATATTTGTAGCGATACTATGAAACTGTAAATGCTTAACTAATTTGACTTTGTTTCAACAGTCGTCGAAAAATGACCTGACTTTTTCATCTTCGAATACTTCACACACAACTTCTTTGTCTTTAGGTTCTAAATGGATGTCTCCAATCTTTATCAATGTTAGCCATTCGTATCAAGAAAATAAAATGTTCATCGTCGATGATAGATATTACAGTAGGAATAGGTGCGATCAATGAATACTAATAAAGTTGTCCTCGAAATCTACTGCTTGTCTTGTTTTCTTTATTGAAAAACTTGTCAAACTGAAATATTTCTCATTGATTGCCATAATTACACAAAGTTATCTTCAGTATATGTACTCAAATTTTATGATAATCATTTTGAACTTCATCTACCATCGAATTATGACATTGAGAGAATTTTCATCGGAACAGGGTTCCAATCATTCGATATGTTTGCCGATAATAAATTTATAAAACGTAGAGACAACTGTCATGTTTGTTCTATGCTATATCTATTTAAAAGTTTCTTGTTGATGAGTATCTGTTTTCAAGAAGGTAAATTCAAATGTTACCAATGTTTGATGAATGTCCATTTGAGAACAAGTTATTTAAAATTATCCCTCAAGACTTTCCTTTTCTACATAGTTTTGGGTCACAAGAAAATGACCAACATCATTCGTCTACATTTATTACATTGAATAATCTGTTCAAGCTCAATCTTATCAAAGCACACAAAGAGTATGCTACAGTTTCTTTCTGAAAGAAACATCCGTTTACGTTGTTTAATTAATCTCGAAATACGAACATTAGCAATTGTTACAAATAATTTTACTAATCATGCAAAATCTCTCAATTATGCTGAAATAAAATTTCGAATTAGAAAGGGTCTATTTGTTCGTCCACAAAACTTTGATTCATTTTTTTCTTCTCTGTAGTTATTAGTCTTGTATAAATCATTTGAATTAAAAGAAAATTAATAAGAAAGTTAATATATATTTCAATCATGATAAATAACAAATTACTACATCAATTATCAATTTTACTCTATATTAATATAATGGGTTTAATAACACTGAATGCAATCATAATATGAAAACATAAGAAATAGAATTGAAATAATTCGTTATGTTCTAATTTTTGAAGAGTATTGAACACACAATTAATTATTGAAAGAGGAACTTTAAAGTTAATATTAAATCTTTGATGAAGATATTCTATGATAATTGATGATGATAAAGAATAAGTTCATTATATAAATTTATATAAGTCAACCTATTCTGAACTTTGAGAGCGATCTATTTGAGGTAGTAAATATAGGTTCATTTTGATTAGTAGAAACAATATGAATATCATAATGTCAAAGATAATCTTCCATAACAGCCAAAGCAGATTTATTCAATGTTAGTATTTAAAAGTATATATGATTATTTGAAAATAAAACAAGAATACGTTGTTTTTCGCTTATCGAATATATGAATAAATGAAAATCGTTAAAAACTTATCTATTTTTCCTTCTGCATGATGAAAAATGATCAGAATGTAAAGTCATACACCTTACAGTTACTAATGAATATCATTCCATAGAAATGTACTTTTCTTCTTCGTTATATCATTTAATAGATACTGAATTAGAAAGAATAAGAAGAGAAATGAAAAGTTTTCGATGTATAACTTCTATTTTACCTGTACGAATGAGTCAAATGAAATTACAATAACAATTATCTTTTATTTGTTTTCTTTTCTCTTTCAAAGAAAAACAATGATCGAACAAATGAATAACGACAATCGAGTCTAGAAAAAAAAAGTTTAGCATTGTTAACAGAAAAGAAAGACTTTACACAGAGAAACAACATGAGAAAAGTCATATTCTGTTTTGTAAACATTATTTCCTATTGAGATTTGTGATAAAATCACAAGAACAACAATAACTGAATATTAATAATGTAGAATCTGTACAATTTAATTGAGTATTTTGGAGAATAATATTGCTATAATATAAAATGATTTGGATTTGATGATACTCTTTCTTTTCATCAATCGATGCGGTTGAAAATCCATATGCATGCAAAAAAAAAACAATGGTTCAAATGTGAAACAAATATTCAAGTAAAATGATATTGACTGAACATGTCAATTAGAAAAATGTAACCCTTTCGAGTCGAGTCGATTCGATTTTCATAGAGAGTAACGTGTGACTCAGAATAAATGGTCGTACTTCGCATCTAATATTTTAATCTCTAACTAAGTTTTATTAGAAAACAACATATACCACAAGATGCACCGTAAAAAGCTCTACGGTCTATATTGTAAAACTTATTCCTATTGTGTACTTTTTGTTGCCAAAAAAAAAGCAAAACTTTGTGCGACCAATTTTTATGGTTGCGAAAATTGATCGTGCAGAATTTTGCTTTTTTGGAAAACAAAAATTACACAATTAAACTAAGCTTGACTATGGAAATTGTAGAGCTTTTCATGCTGTATCTTATGGTATACGCTGTTTTTCTAATAAAACGTCTGTAGAGATTAGAATATGAAATCCCAAGTGCAACCGTTTATTCTGTGTCACCTGTTGGCTTTAAAATATAGTGGAGTCCACCGGTGAACCCCATCGACTCGAAAGGGTTAAATAATCATTTCTTTTTTTTCTTCAATTACATAATGTCTAAAAGAAATATCTATTAAATTTAATAAATACTTCCAAATGGTGATGTATGAAGAGTATTTAATCAATGTTTAAAAGAAGAATTCGATGAATCATCTCACAAATGTCATAGAAAATTATTGAGTTTCATCATTGAAGGTTTTCTTTATTGTACAGCTTTTCATTGAATGATTCTGTCTTTCACTTCCGAATTGTCAATCATTAACTTGTTATTCGACCAGATTGATATCCCACTGTTCTTTTTATTTTAGTTATCGAAACGGCAAACTTTATTTGAATTTTACTGTTTTCGACGGTTCAACTTAGAATAAGCAAAACATTTTCGAATTATTTTTGACACTTCTCGTATATATTTTTATCTGAATTGTGAGTTGTTATTTGAAGAGAACGAAACATGATAATAATCGAAAGAAAAATTTATAATAGAAAGCGATATCTTTTAGTCCAATCTTAATATTTCAATATCGATAAGTCAGAAATTCTAAAAAAAGAGTACTATGGAAACCTGTTGAGGGTTCCTGAGTTTGTTACTATATAAGGGTGCGTGTATGACTGTTGTTTTATTAGTCAATCACATCTACACCGAAAATTAAATAAATTAGAATCATACAATCAGATATTGGATTGATTTGGTCTTAAAATTTTTAAAAAATGAGTTCAATTCGACAAAAAAACATGACTCTATCCTCCTTAGTTGCCAGTGAGATTAAAGTTTAAAGTATTGCATTATTTTCCTTAAGTTGGGAGGGGGGGGGGGAGCGTACCCCTTCTTCTTAACATGCCCTGAAATTTTGTCAGTTTGTAGGGTTAGATTCCAAGGATCTAGATTTAAAATATAAAAGTAATCTTTACCTCGTCCCTTACTCTTATTAAACTTTAGAAAGAAATTTTGTTTTTCATAACTTCTTCTTCAGACTCGCTGCTACCGGGTGACATATTTTCCTTTAAGAAAGTAAATCGTTTTGGTGACGTTAGAAACTCCAAGATGTGTCTTAAATAGAATCTCTTAAACTGGGACAAAACAGAGCCCTCGAGGATGGTTAACTTTTTCACTTTAGCATCATTAGTTTTCAATGAAACTTTGTGTGTACAAGTGAGTATCTATTAGTTATCTTGCCACAAAATTTCAATGTTCTAGCACGTTCCATTCAAGAATTAGCAATTACCACATATCGTTCACGTTCACTATACTATCTGTTCCGATAGAAGCCGCACCACTGTTTATCAAATAACTTTTGATAGAACATCGTACAGACTTGCGGTTTTCAGCATTCGAAGGAGAAATCCTAGGGCTACCTACACGTACAAGAATGTGATTAGTCACTTCTTGACCAATCAAGTCATTTTTTGACGAAAAATTGCAAAAATACATTTTTAAGTCATTTTAATCCAAATTATCACTTATAGAACAGGCCAAATTGAGAGTAGTCTAAAGAAAAATCATGTCTTCTACCGATTTTCAGCGTTCTAAGTGACAATTTGGGCTAAGGCCGCGAGTGTTGGTGTGGGTATGGGTATACGTATAGCTCTTTGCTTTACTTATGCCCACTCAAATTTTAAAAATTTTTGCAATTTGACGTTTTTACATTTCGACATTTTTCTTTTTACCAAAGTTGAGAGAATCCAATTTTCAATATTCGTACTCTTTGGCATTCCAACGGAACGAAAAAAAAGGAAAAAGAAAATCTTTGCTTCTTTTGTCGACTTAATAGGCACATACAAATACAACACAAATAAGACAAATGAATATACCGAGAAATATTTAGGATGCTTTCTCTTAGAATAGAAGTGTGCCCATACTATCGAGTCCATTCTGTTTTTCGACAAATATTGAAAAATATTGAAAAATTATTGTAACAGCTAACAGAATAGCAGTACCCGAACCAGCTACAATAAGTAAATTAGCTAATACTAATAGTGCATCAATACATAAACCACCAAAAGTAGCAGCTATTGGTATATATTGATTAAGTTCTTCAATCATAGATTTTGAACGATGACCATACACTACTCTAAACACAAAAGTCTTTTTATTATATAGTTTTAATTCTATATCTATTTACATTTGCTGTTCTTTTAAACCGATAGCAATATGTTTTGGATATAAATCAGATATTTCCTTCCATGTTTTAGAAATAAATGTACATGAACCAAGCATAAAAACAATATAAAGTATAGCACGTAGAGGATCAGTTAACGTAGCTTGAAATGATTCAGGTTGTGATAAATAATAACATAAACCACCAATTGGATATGAACGTTGTGTTCCATTATACGCCCATACACCTAATAAATTAATATAAAAATTTCCAGAAAATTTTCTTGATAACATATATGATATAACATATAAATTTAAAACAAGAGCTGACAAAATAATACTTGGCATATTTGATGTATAGAGTAATTTAATTGGATAGGATGATGATGGACCACGATAACGTGCAGATTTTATTGGTAGATCAACACGAAAACGTTACAAAATAATTTGATATTATTAACCAATAAAAGAAGCTTCAAACATACTTGAAGATAAATAACAAGGATGTGGGTGTGTGCGGGTGACAGTAATTGAAAAAGCCACACTCCACACCCGCACCCACACCCACAAACAGGCTGCTTGTTGGGTTTTGGAAAAAGAGAAATGCTCATTGTGCGCCGATCGATCGTCACGAGTTCAAGGTCGGTAAAAGTTTGCATTTTCAATTTTTTTGTTTAAATAAATAAAGAATGGTTCTATGTCACATGGTATAGTTTCGCTCTGCTTTACCATGATTTTCTCCAGTGAAATTCGTATACTCTTATGTTTCTCTAATTATGCTAATATCAATAGTTAGGCAAAGCACCTACCAATGATATAAAGAGAGATAAATGCTTTGATTGCTACTAGAAATACTCCAAATCACATGAAATCATAGAAATCACTAACATCATTGAAATCACGAAATCCGTTTGTTCCTCCTTGATATATCATTAATGCAAAGCGAAAGATGTTTGTATTCTCGGTTTTTCTATGGATTGGGACATCAGATATTTACGCGCTATGAGAGTTTCTCTCAGTTTTTTGCCAATTCCACTTTTCATAATCATCCGGATTTGTTTATAATTGATATTTCAATAAGTTGGTCGCGATTTTTAACGAGAAATCGTCAGTTATTCGTCTGTATACAAGATTCAATTGTTTTGTGTACAAAACTACGCACTACACTTCTGTCGATAGCATCGACACTCTTATTAGGCAATCAGTTGATCGTTGTTGATCTTCTTTTTCATCTTGCTGAGAATTTTTCTAAACTTGATCATGCACTCGTTAGATCCAATGTCTGTCCCAAGGACAGACAAAACTTTAGTTCCTGTGCCAAAATTTCGAGTGACAACGTTCTTAACATACTCGAACAAGTTTCAAATGCATATGGTATACGTATATATTTACAGATATATATAAAAGAAATCTATACTGAACTAAACAGCCTCAGATTCCAGTTGACTGAAACTTTGATAACCGATCGTATCGATCTCGCAAAAATGTTGTTCGAAAGGAATTGAAATGATACGAATCCAATTGATCAGGCATTTTCAATAACGTTTTCATTTCTTTTGAGGATCTAGAATAGTCTTAACATAATTGCGAGAATAGTGAGGACTTTTCCATTCTACTTCTAAACATGAGAACCTTTCCTACCAAAAACAAAACATCGAAATAAAACCAGCGGATATCATTGCAAAAGTATTGCGATATGATAATTAATAGTTGCATTTATTGTGTAAGTGATTAAAAACATTCGACTTGCATATATAGAAAAGACGACAAAGGTAGTTGAGAGAATATTTCATGCTTGAACCGCCGTGTTCATCTTTCGTTTTTTTAATTTTATGGATCAATGAAGTAGGTAAAGTACGTCTCGATTTGATTTCATCTCAATTTTCTGACTCGAATATTAATTCGAATAAACGAAAATGTAAAACAAAACGTCACTATTTTATCACCGATCAATCATCGTCCCCAATTAAAATCAATAGTGATAGTCTTGTATTACTCACAGCGTTAATCTCTGAAGCACAGGTTAATTAAGAGGCACTTAGCATATGTCTACAATACTCTCAAACGTGTGATAGTATATCCAAATTCGCGTGCTGGATGTCGCGTATTTCCTCGCCGAAAGTGAACTTTACTATTGCACAATTCTTAATAACAGTCAACAAATTATCCATGCTACAGAATATTAAGGATAATGTAACTCAAAATGGTTTACGTTTTCTTCAGCACCACAAATTGTTGAACTGCCAACAAATATATCAACCTCATCAAACACCACTAGTCTTCCGAAAGGACCGATTGAACAAAGTGTTCTTAATGCCTATAAATACGTCATCAAACTTTTAACACCATTGAAAATCAAACACTTTTTACGAAATGGACGAATGATATCTGTCCAGGAGCTAAGCAGAAACTTTGCCTGTCAACTCGAACAATCAAAGTTGAACGAGTTAGATAACACAGATAGTACAACTGCAGATGAGTCAGACTTCGAATCTGATGATGCAATGAACAACCATGTGGCCGACAGTGATACTGATAGTGACAGTAGTAACGAAGAAGCTGAGGAAAACATTCTTACTGCCAATAATATCAATAAATCTACTTATCCGGGACTACGTTTGACCGGCAATGTGAAAGAATCACTGGCTCAAACGTACTTCGAAATTGCTATCAATGACACGAAAAAGTATCTTCTCAAGCAAACAGCCTGTTGTCTTTTGAAAAAAAGAAAAATGCTCATTGTCCGCAGATTGATTGTTACAATTCAAAACTGATTAACGTAGCTTTTATCTTCAACTATTTCTATTTTCATAACGAATAAGAGATTATTAAAGGTCTCACAGTCTAGCTTTACTCTGGTTTACTACAACATTCTTTCTCTGA